GTCCAGAGAATGTTCAAGCAAGTTGAAATATGTTCAAGCATGTTCAAGCTGCAGCGCTGCATTTTCCGATAGGGTCTTGGCTGGTGCACACAGGTGCCAAGAAACTTCTCACGCAATCCCTCCCCTCCTCCCATGCTGCTGAGGCTAACATCCAAGGCTCCTGCCAGCTTGCAGGTGATGATGCGATGCGGGGCCACTGAGATCCACTGAGCTAACTGAGCCGTTCAAGTGGCAGCTTGCGAAACTTGACCCTGACTGTGACTCTGACTTTGACTCTGACATACTCTGACCTTTACCCTCACTGAGGAGTCATGGCTCCATCTAATTTGCATCTCTACATGTAACAAGGCAACCAACCTCCAAAGGGGTAGGGTACTTCCATTTTGAGGCAAACCCACGTGTATTAGGGGGTCCTCTTGTGATCTCTTGTGGCTAATGTGAAGTGGCTAGCCACTACCTAGGTCCCCCCCCCTTATCCACCCTGCTAGGGGAGCGGATAGTAGTAGTAGTAGTAGTAGTAGTAGTAGTAGTAGTAGTAGCAGTAGCAGTAGCAGTAGCAGTAGCAGTAGCAGTAGCAGTAGCAGTAGCAGTAGCAGTAGCAGTAGCAGTAGCAGTAGTAGTAGTAGTAGTAGTAGTAGTAGTAGTAGTAGTAGTAGTAGTAGTAGTAGTAGTAGTAGTAAGTAAGACTAAAGGAACTGTGCCCTTTTTCGAGGTGGCAGGGAAACACACCACCGAAAACCCAAGTTGGAAACCACATGAAAAGCCGTCAACATGTGTAGAAACATAGGGAAACCAAGCTTTTGGAGGGGAAGCCAAAGTTGAAAACCACGCGGAAAGTCAAACTGTTTGGTGGTTTGAAAGGGAAACCGAAAGGAAAGCTATATATCATCTTTGCTATGGAACCTTGTTGGGGAGGAAATCCCATGGCACTGCTGGCCATGTCCCAAGTCAGTTTTCCCATTAGAATTGAGGACCATGAGGGGTGTTCTTTTTGAAAGGGGGGGGTCGAAGGACAATCATCCATCTGGGGGCGGTGCCTTCTGTTTGGTGTCTTTTTTGAGGTTGTTTCAAGGGGAAACAACGTGGTACTGGGCGTGCCTTGTGTTGAGAAAGTGCGAGTGTTTTGAATCCAGAAAACAAAACCTTGGCAGGGCTGGTCACCGGACACCCGATGCTTCCAGGGAAAGCAGTTTCCCAAACTGGCAAAAGGCAGCTCACTGTAAATGGGCAAAACAAGTGATGTGGAAAAACTCGGGCCATAACTTTGCCTCCAGCTCCAGTTTGAAGGCTGCGGTGAGCATTGCTTCCCCAAATCAATCATAAGGAATTCTAGGGACTCCACGGCTCACTGCGTGTGTTTTACTGCAAGCAAACGCTTCTTGCTCGCTCAATCACTTTTGAGGCAGCCTCGCACACAGCCAAATGCAACCCAACCCTAGCCCCAAATCAAGCAACATAAAGGAAAGCCCGCTTTGACCCCCAAAGCCCAATCAGCCCAATATAACCATCCCTTGCGAAATCAGGAGGAAAACAACTTCTTTCTTTGGTTGGGATGGTGCCTAGTTTGACACATGGGGGTTGATCAATATTCCTGGCCCCCAGTTTTGACCATTGCTACCTTTTCCCATTTAGTGGTTGAACAATCAAATCTTTTTCGTGGTGTTCCAACAATGGTCATCCCATGTATCACGGACCTTTTGATCAACCCCCGAGTCACAACCAAAACCCGGTATTACACTGGTCTACCCAATTAAGAAGGCGACTTCATCCATTTATGGCTGGGATTGTCCCTTGCTACCCTCCTAGGTCCTCCAGTAGAGAGGTTAGAATAAGGGTACCAACTTTTTTCTGTAGTCTATTTTAGTAGGGAACCCCCCCCCAACCCAAAAAGGGGTTGGTAAAAGGGCACGATCCTGGATTACCTAACCTCCAAATACCCGGGTTTTGAGCATGTGGCTCACATGGGTCAAAAGCTTGTATCCCCAGTGAACATCAACCAATCCAAACCAAAATGGGTTCTAAAATGGGTGGTGGATTCCCCTACCCCAAAATGGGATCCCATTGGTTTCGACCCACACCTGGGCTTCGTGGCGTCTCAGCCACTCGCTGAGCTCCGGGCTCATCCTGCAAATCCGCCATGTCGTCGGTGAGCTTGTCCACGGCGCTGATGTCCATCTGCTTGGTCTGCTCCTCGCTCGGACAAAAAAACATAGGCCAATAGGTGCGTGCGCTTGTTTTTGGAGGGTGGCCGTTTTCGAGGTTTGTGTCCTTCAAGGTGTTGTGCCCCGTCTGCATGGCCTCCACCTGGCCCACATGAGTCACGTAGATCGGGAGGGACATTTAAACGGCAGGCGTAAACTCCAGATTGGTTTTAAAGGGAAACCAACCGGACAACCGCATTTTTGTGGGGGGCCTACGGGGTTCTTTTTTGAAACACACACACACACACACAGAAAGAGTGCATTTGTGTTGAGGGGCGGTCCTCGGGGTCCTTCAATTATATGAAACACACCCTTTCCAAGAGTAAGTCGATAAGCGTGGCGGAGTGACTGCCATGGCAGTGATTTCGGCCTGCTCCTGCTGAAAGGCCAAGTTCTCCACATTGAACCTGAGCTCGTGCCCAGTTTGTCTGTTCATCCCGGTGCATCTCCGAAAGCGAAAATTGGCAATTACTCCAAAAAGTGGTTGCTCCCTTAGGGTCCCTGAAAACAACATCAAAAAGCCGGATCTACTATTTTGGGACACCCAAGCACCAAGAACACCCGCGACAAGCTCACAGAAAATCAAGTGGACGAAGCAAACGCCGACACCACCTTGAAACAATGCAACTTTGTGATGGGCGAATCACCACAGTTCACACACGAAGGAGTCCCCGGGGATGCTTCAACACGCCTCAAATCGCTGGCTATACGCCACACCCTCGCGAGATCCCTGCAATGATCATTGCACTCTGGAATTTACATTTGTGCCCCAACAAAGCAGGACTGCCGACTTCCATTTGGTTAAGGCCCAGGAAAGATAAACATATTTCCAGTAGTGATGAATTCCTTGTAAAACCAACAAGGGAAACCAAATCGTCTGAAGCAAATGTTATTTCCCCCCAAGATCATGACCCAAGAGGAATCTCATCTGGCTCCTTGAACCCCAGAGGATACCCTACGTATATTGCTCATACACAAAGGAGATACAAAGGGTACATGGCAGGACCCCGCCTGCCCCCCCCCAAAAAAAAAGACTCTCCTCATGAAAAAGGACAACACAGTTCACATGTGTTGTTCAAGTGACAAGAGTTGCCTGGTCAAACATCAATGGCTCTATCGTTATATGTTTTGGCATGCATGTATGCGCACATAGATGATGTGTATATCATACATATCATGTGTGTATGTAAGGAACGCGTGATATTGCACGGCAGGGGTACTCCAGGGGGCACTTGGTTTTTCGCCTGAGCAGGCCCATGCCAGTCTAAGGCAGGCGCTGTGTACTCAGAAGCTGGTCCTTAGCACGCGCGCGGCCAAAAAGGGGTCCATGATCCCCCCTACCCTAAGGGGGAGGGGGGTGGGGGGTCCACCCCCCACAATTCCATTTATTCAGTCTTCCCCACAAAAGGGAAAACGGGAACCCTAAATGGAATTCCAGGGGCCGGTTGGTGCATGGTTGGGCGTGTGCAAAGGGCTCCCTTTTGCAGCTTGGTGAGGAAACCAGCAGGACAAACAACAACCAGTCGGGGCGCGGTATGTTTGAGCCATCAGATCATGGCTCATCAAGAGCACAAGCCACAGGATTCCGATTTCCCCCTGGCTGTATGAAAGGTTTACCAAACTTGGGTTTTCGACCGGGGGAAACGACCAGAATCTTGCCATTGAAAATCCAAACCGAATCCTAATGGCATGTTGCCTCAGAGAAGAACTGCCGGTTTTCCAGGGAGTCTTCGAAAGGATCCTTCAGGGCCCCAAATCAAATGCCCGCCCATAATGTTTCTGTAGGGTCCTCTTCGGGGACGGATGATGGCCTCCGGGTTGCTCCGATTCGGCCGTGGACATAATGCAAGTGAGGGAACAAGGAAACCCTGCAAACAATCTACCCTTCCTCCCACTGTCATGGCACCTGTGGGAGGGTACCTGGAAGATCAGTTTCCTCTTGGAGGGACTTTCTGTGAGCTGCCATGTTAGTGGGAGGGAGGGTATCATGGTTTTGTGGGTGGGTATGGCTTGTGTACTTGCAATATGGCAAGAGCATCCGCCAATAGAGGATAATCAAGGACATGACAACCAACATGCCTGAACGAAGCGACAGTCTTTATCAGTACTATGAGCAGGATTTCAAGCATTCCCTTTTCAGTCAGTAATGACGTTTTCAATACCATGAACCATGATAGCATTGCAAACAGATGGATGAAAGGAAGGGGGAATCGCCCACAGGTCGCAAACAACAACAAGGCAATGAGCTATCAAATCAACACTGCCAACCCTGCGTAGGCACTGCTCAAGTTTTGCACCGGATCCCTTCAGGTTTCCCTCGGGACTCCAAGAATTACCAACCTGGGAACCTACGTCCGAACACCCACGGGCCCATTGGAGCGTAAGCTCCGTCAATCTCTTAGACCCTGCTCGACCGGATTGATGGAAGCCCAGGTACGGTTTACAGCCAAAGGTATTGGCCGGTCTCTGCCATTGAAATCGAGGCTGGCAAAGTGTTCCTGCACCACCCCCGCATGCCAAACAGTATATCGGTTCTTGCGGCCAAGTGTCAAGACATGAGCCGGGGAGGTGTCAAAATTGGGCGACCCCCAAATGGTGGCTTTCCGCTTATCGCGTCCCTTTTAACCAGCCGATGGAATGGCTTCCCTTTAAACCAGCCGTTAGAATGGCTTCCCTTTAAACCAGCCTTTCAAAGGACTCCCTCCAAAACACGCACCCAAGTAAACAAAGGAGGCTGCAATTGAATCAAACCAGTTCACGCTGCCGCCCAGCACGGTGTCGCTTTTGTCCGGTCAACGGGGTGAAACCAAGCATCCATGTGAACTTTCAAATAGGATGCATCCCCACGACAGGATTGATTCATCACGGCGTGGTCTCTCGAATTCTCCCAAGGCGAGACTTCAGGAATCAACCAAAAGGAAACAAAGCACATAGACAGGATAAAGAGGCCAAACAACCGACCACCAGGCGCCTAAGTTGCTCAGACCGCCCAAACTCATTGACCTCTCGCAAATCATTCAGCTCTCCGCGCTCCGCGCCGCGCGCTGCGGCGCAAATCAGCAGCGGCTTTTGCAGTGGGACACCGTCCAGGTCTGGCAAAAGTGATTCTCCTTGTAGAAGGAGCGGCACCCGTAGCAGCCAGCATTCTGGCAGGGAGAACGCAAAAACGTGCAAAATTCCGGAAGTAAGGAAAGGGGCGTCATCAAGTCATCAAGGGTGAGCTAGCTCTACCCTCCCTTCCACCAACTTGGCACCTGACAGGGGGAAACGCCTGGAGGTCCAAACCCACCGGTTACCAACCTTGGCTTTGCCAAGTGGAAGCCTTCAGCTTCTCTAGCCTTGAGGGATTAGCAATTCAGCAGGTTGGATGTCTTACCACAAGCGCAAGGGGCCTCGAGTCAGTCCACTGAGAGCCCAGCCCACCCATCCTAAGCTTGCTAACCATTTAGTTACCGCTTAAAGAGGGAGAGAAAACAGGGTTTGAGGCCCGTTCGGCAGGCTACGACACCCTTTCACAGAAAATGCGAAAACGTCCCCGTCCTGCTTTGCGCTTTTTGAGGTCATGTTTTTCGCTGTTGCTGTTTTTGTCCGGGAAGCCCCAAAATCTGCCAACCCGGATCAAAGCCATGCGGGTGTTGGAAGCATTTGAGACCGCCCCTTCCGGCTGTGGATCAACAGCATGTACAAAATATCACCTTGGTAATGACTTGGAACGCTCTTGGAACCAAAGACTAAAAGCTGCGTCATCCATCGGCTTTGAGCTGAGCCCTCCTCCACTTTGCAGGAGGAGACGTAGGAGTGCGCCGGGCCCCCGCGGCACATCTCCTTCAGGAACCCGCTCACGGCCTTCCCGGAGCCCTCCACGTGCCCCAGCACGCAGCCGCAGGTGGGGCACGGGGAGTGAGAACCGTCATAGCTCCTCAGATTTGAACCAATGCCACACCCTCGCTTGGGATCACTTGGGTATATTTGGTAGAGTAGTACAGGGAAACTAGAAGGACACTTTAGGTATATAGGTTAAAGAAACTATACACCTTGGGAATATGGTCTAAAGTAGGAAAGGGAAGCTAAAAGGAAACCAACTGCTTTGAAAAAAATCAAACAAACATGTGAACATCATCTAGCAGGGTTCTCGAAATAGTGCTCCTTTCTGGGAGGCTCTTCCGTGCGCCACAGGTCGACCACCTTCTGTTGGTTTAATGGCCAAGCCATTTGTTTCCCCAAACGTCTAAGGGGCCGATTCGACACCAAAGGCCAGCCATGTCTTGTCTAGAAACAGGAAATCAAAAGGAGCCAATGTTTTGGGGACCATTTTGAGGCAAAATAATTCCAATGCCTGAAATCAGGGACCCCCGTGTACAGGGCGCCTACATCATGGTGAGCTTGTTTTACCCCTATAGCTCGTCTTAGCTCAATCCAAGTGTTTGTGTGCATATCCATTCTATTTTGGGTTTGAAAGGGGGGGACATTATTGGTTCCAGAAAGCACAGAAACTACATTGCATTGTGTGTACATACCCCTTTTACTTGAAAGGGTGGTATTTCTGGTTGCCTGTCATGTATTGTAGTCGTCGGTTCATCAAGACACCACTGACTGTGTAGCTGTTCAGCCGCAACCAACCATTTGTATTTAGCGGTCCAACCATTTGTATTTAGCGGTCAAAGGGTGGTTACCCACTATACTCGTATACCAAAACAAAACAAACAACAATGGAAAAGGCATGTTGGGTTGCATAACATGTAGAGATTTATACAACCACTCAATTTTAACCCCCGATAATCCATCCTCTCAATCAAGCATTCCAGTCTTGAAAATGAGGGTCTTTGAACAATTTGCATTGGGGTGTGGATGGAAGAGGCCCATTGTTTGGCAAAATATGCCAAGCAAAACATGCAGAAAAGTCCCAGCAGTTGTCCGGCAGGAGAAGCACGAGTTATGACAAGCAGGGCATGCCAGGTCGATTTACCACTAATTCGGGGCTAAGTTTTGGGAACCTGTCACCAGGGCCGATCATAGGCCATGCACTACTGGTTCAGAGCCATAATGGCAGCCATGGTCGAGCGGTATGGCCATGAAGGGTCCTTCATGTCACTGGTCACTCTCAGGATGCCAGGTCTCCCTTTGTGGCTCTAGCCAGAGAAGTCGCCTCCAGCTGATTTAGCGGATCCTCTCGTATTTTCGGAGGTATCCTTTGAGGAATTCTGTTCGATTCTGTTTGGCTCCCAACTTCTGAAATCAAGTTGTTTGCTTCCAGGCAAGGTGGCTCGTTCCAACAGAAGCAGGACGGAGGCAACGAAAGGTTGGTTAGCCACAGGGAATGAATGACCAGCCATGGGAATCTCCATCACGCCAAAGCGAGTTGCCAACAATACTTGTTCTCATGGCCCTCTTGGGGCACTGAACAAGGCTGGCTACTGAAACATGTCCTCACTTGCCCAAAGGAACTGGTAATAAAAGGAGAACCTTTTGTGATGTGGACAACGTACGGACACAGGAAAACCAAAAGGTCCTGTAGGGTCGATTCGCTTTGGGCCAGTGAGTCACAATCAAAAACTGGTACAAAAATGGCAAACCCAAAACCATGTGAAGAGTTACCAAGGCGGATATCCACACCTATTTATGCTTTGGTATCCCTTACTAACCTTCACTTACCCGGATTTTGAGGGACGTGGCTCAATTTGCTGGTGCTCAGCAGGGAATGTGGCAATGAACCCAGGGGTCCCCTTAAAGAAAAGAAACAACACCAGTTGGATAATTTGTTTATTTCGGGGTCATTCCATTTCTCATTCCCTGCATCTCTCGCACGGATGGCAAGTCAAGTGAGTCTCCGGAATCGCTGCTTAGGCGCTTGTCGCCGCCATTGGCCACCCATCCTTTGACCCCATAGTGCGAAGCTTTGCCCACTGCCCAGTTGCGATAGTGGACCTGCGGCGAAACGGGTCAAAGCATCCGGGGTGCTGTGTTTTGTGTGGGTACAGTTTAAAGGAAAAATCAGGGGGGCCGGGCGAAGGCATTTTGGGGCTCGTGGCATTGAGAGAGCCCATGTTTGGGTAGGTTCCCACTTGCCACAGTGAGGAAGTCACAAAAAGAAAGGGCTGCCTCAAACGAACACAAAGTTCCAGATGAGTTACCATCTGAACTTTGCCCTTGAGAATAAAGTTCCGGCAGCTCGTGCCATTGACCTCGTCCAACTCCTCCAGGGATGCATCCGTCTTCCTGCCGGACAGCTGCAGTATGTTCAGTGCACATCCGTCTTCCGCACACTCGTCATCCATGGCTGCCGACAGCCAAACAAGGCCAAGGAATAACCACCGCATCGCCGGCGAACTAATTTGTTCGCCAACGCCTTTCTTGGAGGTATGGAGAAGGGTGTCTCCACTTGATCCGAAGATATCCATTTCGTCGGCATCGCGATGCAGCTTCTGAGGTTTGCCTGCTGCTCTGTTTTTTTAGCCTGAGGCTATCAAGAAAAGTTGAGCTCTGGCCAAGGCTGAGGTTTGTTTTGACCCTGAGGTATCTATAATGTTGACCCCGGATTAATACGCCCCTGTTTCTTAATATGGGGGTGTTCCCCTCCGAAAGTGATGATTCCCACTAAAACCAGGGACACCGGGACCCATATTAAGAAACAGGGGTTTGTTAGTCCGGGGTCAACATTAATAGGACCCCTGGCCAGGTGCCATGAAAAGGTGGCCTTGGCGGCCCCATTTGCTGTGACTTCCTCGGCTTCGCGCTCGCTGCTGCTCATACATCTTCTTCTTCTTCATGGCCTGCGAATCGTCCGACCCAGCTTGATGGTTGGTTAGGTCCCAAAATGGGATGCCCAAATCAGACGCTTGGCTTCTTTTCGTTTTTTTCTTGAAACCAAGCTGAAAGGGGGTAGCTTCCAAAAGCACCCAGCCATGTGGGTGACAAGGCTGCCCACAAAACTCCGAACATGGCCATTGAAAAGCCATAGTGTTGTGGCAAAGGGCACCTTGCAAGCTCTTCGTCTTTGTTGGGCGGCAGGGCAACGCACAATCTACGAGTTGATATGTTAAGCAGCACAAATGGCAAACGGTAACCCAAAACAGCCTGGAGGTCACTTCACAACCCATTTGCCGGCCATTGGACTTTCACCCAGCGGTTTTTGTTCCACAAGCCTCCCCCCCCACTGAACAACCCGACCCTGGGTTCGCAGCGAGGCCCCGAAAGTGAAGCCACATGGCTTCGAGCCCCGGGTGAGCTTCGCTTCAAATCCGACCTCTCGCCGAAAACCCATGGGGCGCAGGCCCAAAACTCGGGTCCCGTCCCAAAACACCTGCCTTCCACACAAAGCCTCCGGGCAAGAAGTGCTGGCCGTTGGAGCCAAACCAAGCTGAGCATGTTTTCCATATGGGTGTGGCTCAGAATTAACCAGGAGGGGCAAACCGCAGGTTTTGGTCCATGTTTCCACTTAGCAGGGTTCCACTTACCAGGGTACCACTTACCGGTTTTCTGAGCCACAGCCATATTTTCGTTTTCACCCCCCAGGCCTGCAGCGCTTTCGACTTGGCCGTGGGGTTGGAGCTCCTGCCGAGAACCGGACTTCCTCGAGAAGAAAAAGTCGACTAGCATAAATTCAGGTGCTGGACAGGGAAGCCGAAGATTCTAGGCGTTGACTTCCCCCATTCTTCCAAAATTCCGCGTGCTTGCATGGGCTCACCAGGTAAGCCTCTAGGGGTTGATGCCTGTTCCATTCTTTTCAACCATTGTTCTTTTCGAAAAACGGATGTGTTTCCCCTGGAGTTTTCATGGTTTCCTGAAAAGATTCGGATGCCTGGAAAGAATGGAAACGGAAGGTACCCCTGGAAACGTGTGAAACCATGTCAAAAGAGATCCCGAAAAAGGAAAGACAGGGTAGCTCTGATCATTCCCAGGCCAACCACCAGCGAATGCCCCCCCCCCCCCCCCGCGCATGATGTCCTTTGTATATGTGCTTGTTGTGCAACTGCATTTGTGTTGTGGCACTGGGGGCGCACATGCACAAATGCAGACACAAACATAGACGCATAGAGCATACGCGCACAAAAAACAAAAAACACAGAGACCAACACTTGCAACGGCGCACACACACACACACAGTCACGGGAATGGTTTGTTTTCAACCTGTGTCGGGTTCTTTTTCGACCGGGTTGAGGGCCGGGGTCTTTTTTGACCTGGTCCAGGGTCTTGTTTTGACCTGTCCAGGGTCTTGTCTTGGACCTCATCGCCTATGAAGCATATTTCCTCTGAATAAATATGTTGATGTATATAGATATAGAGAAAGAAAAACACAACTGACGTATATCCGAAAAGCAGTTGATCAGATGCTGTCTGTCCCAATCAAGTCTCAACTCGGGTCCAAATCAATGTTCAATAACAAAATATGTTCGAAGCACAACTCTTTCATCTCGTGCTCCATGCTCATAAAAGACCAGGAACGGCGTAGCGTGACTGAGTTCGATTTCACTAGTATATTTTCGTGAAAGCCATGATTGACCATATTCAGTCACGCACCCAACGGGACTAGAGGACTTCGTTCCAGGCGAGTCTCGAACCCAGCCACAAAATGGTAACTCCACAGCTGAGGGCGCGCAACAGCCTGACCAAAGACAAAAGGCGTGCACAAGGCGGTCAAACTCTTTCTACACGCATAGATGTAGACAGCACGACACTGTTTTCGCAAAACTAATCAATTTGCAACTCGCGTCAACATCAGAACTGAATGACAACATCACATCTGTTCGAGGCACACCTCCTTCATCTCGTATTCTATTTTCATACAAGACCAGGAACAGCGCAGCGTGACTGAAGTCGATTACACGTACATTTTCGTCAAAGCCATTCTCTTCACATTTTCCCACAGTCACACGCAAAAACGATCGCATGCACACGACCAACGCACGCACACACAAACGCGCACACGCACCCACCAATGGATCATGACCGAGAAATGCGTGACCCGCAAAGTCAAGAGGCATCAGCAACAGCAGCTCAATGAGTTGGGCCTATCCCACGTTAGAGCATGGTTTCCGAACTTAGCTGGAGAATGGTTCCCGAAAGGCATTGCAAGAAGAAGCGGGATAGGCACTCACCAGAAATCAAACACCACAGTCAAGTGATCCAAGTAAAACCAGCCCTGCGAGTCATGATTTTACAAAAACAAACGAAGGCTGAGAATGCAGCAATCCCCTAGATGAAAGGAATCCACTCTGGGGGTGAGGGTATGCGTCAGGGATTCCATTAACAAGGAATCGCAAAAGGAGGTGCTCCAAAACAAAACTCCCCTCCACATATCGGTGTGCGTTTTGGCGGGTATCCTCTTCAGAGTGCTAAAGGAACACCACCGTTTGGGGGGTCCCCTATATGTTGCGCCCAACCATGCTCGCTTGCTGCTGCTGCGGGGGCGGAATTCTCAGCCGGGCTCGGCGTGTCCCAGCTGCCAAAGTAGATTTCCAGGGGGATTACTTGCATAGGTGGCCTTTTGGAAAAATAGATGGCCCTGGTAAATGGAAGAAACCCCCATCTAAACCAGGAATCGCCCTCTATTTTGTAAGCAAACCCACCAAAAAGGACACCTATGAAATTACTTGCCGAAGGCGGCTAGCCTGAAAAAACCTCCGGGTATCAAAAAGACCAGCCCGGTCCCAAAGGTCATGTCCGCACCTTTCGAATCTTGGAATGACCATGTGTCCGTCTTCGCTGTGATTCACTCCGAATGTCCGACCTAACATTCACATTTATCACCAATGGGTCTTGATATATATATATATATATATATGTATATATATATATAGGTATATATGTATATATTGGTGGATCGATTGATCCCCGATCGATCGAAGAAAAAAGAAAAAACAGCGGCTCCCTTTGGCCACCAAACTTCTGATCTCTTCATCGGTCTTCACAATCTTGGCCTCGAGGGCGCTCACCTGAGAGCGCCAGAGCGGGCAGCCACTCATGCGGATAGACATAAAATCCATCAGTGGATACGTGGCTGTGGGTCAACATGTGTGCCCAAACTGGAATCCTGGTAAATGGAAATAAGGACTAAACCTGCGGTCTTCTAGTGGTTGATTTTGACCCATAGTCACGTAGGTTTATCCCAGTACTCATAGGGCTATTTTTATACCAGTATTCACAGGTTTGCATCTATTTCAACCTGTACAAGATGTTGTCGATCCAGAGCAGGAACCCCTCCCCTCCCCGTGTTGCCCTAAAGAAACCCTTCCTAAGGCCAAACTGGGAGAAAAACAGGGCCCTGTCAAAGAATCGTAGCGAGCCACCGCAAAAGACAAAGTCATCCTCCCTCACAGACCCCTGTCCAACAATCATACAAATGGACGTGAATAAACATCAACCACTAGGCCATCAACAGAATAGTGATGAACAGCTGCTGTCGGGGCACTGCTTGACACGATCTCGGTCTTTGACATGTCTGTCTATGTCTCTCTGATGTCAAATTCTGCGCTCAAGCCACCCTCTTTCCAACAAACATGGAAGCTGACAAAAGACTTGGAAGATTACATGAAAACGCCCCCGGATTGTTGGAAAGAGGGTACGGCAGCGGTGGCAACTAAGACAAACAAACATCTTGAACTGGCCAGCCTGCTCGTCAATCCGCGACGATGCCTCGCAGGCTGCAGGTGGGGAAATGACGATCGAACACAATTTAGGTCCCTCAAACATAATGCCAAGGTCAGATTAATTGGCTTACGCGGGGATGGTCGTGATGTCCTTATGGCTGTCGTCATTACAAACGCTGTCCAGTCAACAATTAAAGTTACACAACTATTAAAGAGCGTGCAACGATTGTTGCATCAATGACAACACAAGCCTATCACATGCAACTTTGCCTGCACTACTTTGCAACGAACACTGCAAACACTGTTACAACCACCAGCAGTGAAACGTCACAAGCAACAGCAACCAACTTTGCACCATGGACCATGCCTGTATCATTCGTACGTGACCAACCCCTCTTGGCCAGTGACCCATCTCCGCAAGAGGAAGCCTTTCGGTCTGAGAATCAGTGAGCCCACCTGCCACTGAAGATCTAGGCTACATGCCCAGGGGCGGCTGCCAGGGCATCAAAAGGAAACTTCCGTTGGCTTCCATAAAAATTGCCGAAGAAAACAAAACCAACTCGCCGAGGGATCAACATTTGCAGATTGCCCAAGCAATGGACCAAAGCGATACTCTGGCAGTGTCCACTGCTCATATTGGCAATTGGTCTTTGCAAGTTGTAATGATTCAGCTTGCGTGAAAATTGCACCCCGCCCCTCCCCAATCCCAAGGAGAGGAAGCCTTCCGTGATCTAGAGTCAAATGCACCCCCCCCCCCTCCCCGCCGCTTTGGATGGGTCCAAAGCGAAACTACAAGCTTTCTCAGGGGTCCCCCGGGTTTTGGAAATATAACATATACGTGTGTGTGTGTGTGGGTGTGTTCAAGCAAGCTACCCTTGTTCTACCACTTCAGGATTCCACGTGCCTTGTTTCTTGAGAAGTTCTTCCTTGGATTTCGCTACGTGAAGACAGTCCCCGACTTTCTCAGCATGATGCTCCTCCGGCCAAGTTCTGAGTATGCTCAAAAGGTGAATGAAAAGGTCCTGAGAGAGTTCAAAGACAGTGAAACGGCCACGTTGGACCAAACAAGACCAGACTTTACATCGGTTCGCACGGAACTTGATTCAAAGTGACATCAATTGTCCTTTTCTGTTTGGATGGATTTTGCAAAAGTTATCCTAAGCTTTGTAAAACCACAACGAAAAGGACCCCTTTCGTAACCCAAAGCATTAAACATTGCCTTTCGTAACCCAAAGCATTAAACATTGCCTTTGAACCGTCCAGATAACGCTCCCTTTTCCATCATGGGATAGGGCCTCCATGAACCGCTGGGTGCTATTGAGCCCCCCCACCCCCCAACTTTTGGGCGTTCAAACGCACGGGATGACGTTCCCCGACTTCGGGCCGGCCGGGCGAATTCGGGGGATTCGCCTCTGAAAGGCTGGGCGCTTCCTTTGGAGCAGGCTCCTCCTGGCGAACTTCGCCGGGGACTCTGGGAAGAAGGAAACGTGGCGCCGGCTGGGGGCTGGGTGGGATGAGGGGGGTGTGAGGGGGGGGGGATGAGGGGGGTGGGATGAGCGTGGGATGAGAGGGGTGGGGGTGACAGTGAGTGTGAGGAGTGCAGTGGGGTGTGCCTTTCGACGGGAAATCAAGTTGGACCGTCTCCAGAATTTCGAGACGGAATTGGAAGTCTCTCCATGGGCGAGTGAAAGGTGAAAGGAGTCCCATGTCCACAAGGTGCATGTTGACCATCTGATCGTACCCGATCAGAAGTCAAAAAATGTACTGAGTTCATACCAGGTTTCAAACAAGCATTTTTTATTTGGCTGGTACTTAAGGAACCACCTTTTTCATGTTGGAAGATTTTCTTTTTTTTTGCTTGGAGGGGGGGGGTGGCCACATCCAGAACTGGCGGGGGGACGGGGGTTCCTTAAATCTGTCTTCCTGACAGGGACTCTCCCAGTTTGCCCATTCTCAAGCTGCTCGTCGCCTTTCAGACTGCTGCGCGCAGGAGCCAGGTTTTTCAGACACCCCCCAACTATGCAAGTATGGATGGAAATCCAACATGTGGAAATCCAAGACATGGAAATGCGCAAAGTAACCTTGCTCAATGGAAATCGAAAAAAAATGCAACATGTTTAAGGGCTTCTGCCGGCTTCCGCAAAACACTCGCGCACACCCGGGCGTTCTCCTTGCTCAGGCCGAAGAGCCGACGCATGACGCCTGCAAAGCAAGTCAAGTCGGGGGCAAAAACAGGACCACGGTTGAGTGGATGAATGTCAACTTGGATTTATCTAGAGGATCATAGCAATCAGGGGGAGGTTCCCCTTTGAATGTGAGTCCTGCTCAGACTAGTATCGTCCTCCGGATAAATCCGAAGCCAACGTCAGCCGAATGCTCCAAATGCATTCATGAGAGAACCACCGGTGACACCGGCCCATAAGCCACCAACCCATAAGGCCATCCCAACGGCCGGCTTCGGAACTTGAACTAGTTGCTTCTTTCCTCATCGGTAAATAGCTAGGTCCTCCAGTAGAGAGGTTGGAATAAGGGCACCCTTTTTCCTGTAGTCAATTTTAGTAGAGGAACCCTTCCCCAAGAAAGGGTAAAAGGGCACTACTGGGGGACCTAGATAAACAATGGACATCCCTTGCTAATTTCCTCGTCCCTGAAACCCCGGTATCTCCAAAAACCCAGATGGGAATCAATCAAGCCAAGTCTCCCCTACCCGGATTGGCACGCCTTTCTGCGCGCCCCCTTCCGCGGATTGTGTTTGTGTGCGCGGTGTTAATTCAAAAGCACAACTGGGCTGTCATGACGCTCCGAGTGGCTCCTTGTCTACTTGGCACAAGGCTGTCAGTTAAAGCTGGGAGTGCATGGAGCATCTATCTGCGAAAGCGAGCCAAAAGGCTGGGACGAAAAACACATGTGCAAAGCTGTTGCGTGAGCTGCAAGAAACACATCGCGGATGTGCTGCCCTTCGTGCCTCTGGTGGGTACTATTCATAGGGAACACGTTCGAACCGTGGCATTATTTTTCCTGGGGATCTATGTTCACCAACACTCCCTCGGAACAACATGGAAACCTCCAGAAGATCTCTGTAAATGGCTCACCAAGTCTTCCAAAGGTCCTGGGAGCTTCCCCACGTTAGTCTGGGGCAGGGAACTATTGTTAAGGGGTTCCTTATTTCAAACACAACATAGCTGTGGGTCAAAAAACAGGTACCTGACATGGGAAACATGGACTAAAACCTGCGGTCCCCTAGCGGTTTGATTTTGACCCACACCCAAATCTGGTCAAGTTGAGCAGTTTGCCATTTCCATTTGCTCAATCGGATTACAGTCAACTGTACCAAATGGCAACCGCCATGTTTGTCCAAAGAAGTACGTATATGAATATCATGGCAACTAAACTGTCCAGGCATGTCCGGGCTGATAAGCCTGCCAATGTCAGAGATAACTCATGCATCTGTTTCACTACAAAATACTTTCCAGGATGTATTTCGACGCGCATTCTGATGCATCCTTACTTACTATGACAAGTGACAAAGCCTTCCCGTCCATCACTGGCAGCATCGGGTGCTAATTCAATTGCGAAACAAGGAACAAATGCGTCAAAGTGGCAGCACAAGCATCCATTTGTCCAATGCTTGCTGAAGCCACTGTACATGCTGTACAAAAAAGACTTGGCCGCGCCAGAACATTCTCGGCAAAGGTGATTCCGCGCCCAAGCATTGTTCAAGGTCTTTAGAGGCCAGAGTCAACGGCGCTCATACAGTGGATGGGCAAATTCCTGCACCAGCAGGTAGGTGGCTTTTCCTGGTGTTCGCAGGGCTTCATCCATCCCGACAAGTGCAGGAGTTTGTTCATCCACAGAATTAGCATCTTGGGCTCCTAGCATCTGGGCAAAGCGCTTCTGGGGCACTTCCAGCATGCCAAAGAGGTCAGCCTGCGTCTGGCATACCATCATCAGCACCAGTCACGCGCCGGACATGGGTGAGCCCTGTGGCTGGAGTTGAACACCTCTTGGAAGTATCTCCACGCCCTCGCCCGTGACCAAGGGATGAGGCATATATATATATATATATTCACAAGTCGGAAACTCCCTGCCACAGGGTCCCCCGACTTGAATTGCAGGCAAGCGACCTCGGGTCCAATCCTAATGAACAAATTCCCCCGCTGAGGAACCTTCACGTTTGAACTCGATCTCGCTTTGCCCCCTCCGGACTCCAGGTCAGCAAGCTGAGCGCAGAAATCCCGGATACCCCACAAGCGAACTCGTTCCACACAACTTGCACCCGGACATTGGAAAGTATCGCATATCTTTTGTGGGCCCTTTGAACGTCATCATGGAGAACACTGACTTGAATAGCGCTGGGAAGTGATGTGTAAAACGTCCAAGGGAAAGATCCAAACAGGAACCCGACCCAGGTCGGCAAGCCACCCTAGCGTCAGCCGCCGCCCTTTGAAGCTCAGCCCCCGCCCCGCGTCTTACCTCAGGGCGGTCCATTTTGACCGAGGTCACCGGGGAAACTGTCCTGTGACATGAGGTGACAAACATGAATATGGGCCCATGTACGTGTATATATATATATATATACACACCCACGGAGGCTAGCTTCTTGACGAACTTTTTTCCGCCAACTCAATCAAACATATTAAGGTGCGACCTTTGTTTTTCAGGAACCCCCATGTTTGGTTGGTTTTAAGGGGAAACTGCAAGAGTCACCTTTTGGTGGGGTCCCTTCAAGAAAAACACCCCCATAAAGGTCAACATACAGGTTACCTGCTGTGGCTGGATCCTTCGAGACGCTTTCTCAGCGGGGGCCAAACATTTTCCCAAAGGTTTATGGGCATGACATTTAACTAGGTGGACATCTTTCAGTGGGGAAATTCATGTCCACCAACCACTTCTGAGGGGGTTCCCCAAATCACATTCACGCCCATGTCTTAAAAGGACCACCATGGGCAATCGCCCGGTCAGCGCGATTTCCCTTAGAGCAACCCATTTAGAGCCCTTGCATCGAACACAAAGAAAATGGGGCGTCAAAGACAAAAGATGCCCACCTTAAGGAGGAGCCTGAAATCTGTGGCCACTGCGGGGTGGCATCGCCAGGCTGCTGAATATTTTGCTGAATATGTTGCTGGGCAGGCAGCAGGGAAATCAATTCGTACTTCACACAATTATGTGGCTGGATAGCACGGAGTTACGGCGGTATTAACTGCGGTCTTCACGGCAACAGCGTGGACTGCTACGACAGACCTGCGCGTGCGCCACTGTTTTGGTCTCTGAAACCATCGAATCTCACGTCACAATCCAAGTCCATCCAATCGGCTCATCACTTCACAAATAAACATCCACAACTTTTAGCCGCTTCCCAACTTGCAAAGCAAAACTGGCCGAACTTGACTGCGCGTTTTGCCGAACTCTGAGCTGCTTGTCCTTCCCAAGCCATTCCGGAGGTCAACTATGGAGACTGGGGAGCGATAGAACACACCACTTCCCCGTTGGTATCCTTTTAGGAAATTGACACAACTTGGTTGCTTTCTGTTCCCCTGCTAAAAGCTTGACTTTTGGTGGTTTAATGGAAAACCCACTAATCACTAGTTGGCAAAAAGTTGAAGTCCTAACATCCAAGCAAAATGCAGCAAAGACAATTCAGGCTGCAGCGCCCAGAATCGAGCCCACGGAATTCCACCTGCCTCGTACGTCAAGATCATGCGCGGAGGGCACGCTCACGGGCTTTGGCGCCGGGCCCAAGGCTGCCTGGATTTTGGCCCGGAAATTTCTGGGGCTAGGTCAATCCGGGGAAGTCAAGTTTCAGGCTTGGAACTTGGAAGTTGGAAGTGGCTAGTGAAAGCAACGTCGAGGATGCTTTGGATGAAAACTAATGTTAACATATAGCGTTGTGCGACACTGTCACAGGTCATTGTTTTGCAGCACCTGTTACGTCGAGGGGGTTGATAAATAACACGGATAGTTCGTGTTGTGATTCAGGGCCGATGAACACAACTGCCATCTCTCATTTTGGGTGAGAGGCAGTGACCCACCCTAAATTCCAAAATCTGCTTGGGGGAAACCCCAAATGATTGTGCGTTGATGACATCTGGGAGCAGATCCATGGCAGGAGTCTGGGCAAAGCTACAACAATTCCTGAACCGGAATTCAGGAATCCTCAAGTGGAGAACAGTCTCACGGATCTGCTCATGTTACCCCGAGATAAATATGTAATTTGTGCTGATGGCTGATGGAATGACAAACTCTGCATGAAGGCACTGCTCCATGTTCCTTTCTAGGGCAGTTTCTCCGTAGCGCAACCAAATGGCATGGTCATCCTTTGCGCCAGCCACTCAATTAGACTGTCTATGGCGGTAACTCACGTGACGGGAGCTGCTTTCTGCGCATCTCGCACTAGGAATAAGCACGCAGAAGTGATCCGTCGCAAGTCCTTGTTAGACTCTAGCTACTTCAACTCAGACACACTTGAACAGATCCTTGCCAGGCACACATCTTTCTTGTCAGCATGTGGAAAAGTCATGAGCAACACGGCAACATGCCTGCTCATTGATGCCAGCAACCCATGCTTGTAGGCCCATCCTAGGCTTATCTCAGGCTCCCAAGACGCATCTGTCAAAGGGTCGAAGCGAACCCTGATCGGAAGTACTGTTGGAATGGTTGGAGAATTCATTCCCACACTCCCTATAGAGGAACAGCACCTTGGCTTGTCCAGACACAAGCCCCCCTCCCCCATGGAAGTGCTGAATAGGGGGCTCTAGAAAACTTGTCGAAGTTGTATTTGATGTATGTTAGGCCCAATGCTGGGTCCTACACCTGTAGTACCAAAGGAAACTCACCTCAAAAAGGAAGGAATTCTCAGGACCCTGCAACTAAAACGCCTTGGTTGTTCTCCATGTTGACCCTTCCCACAAGCAAGCTTGTTTTTTCAAACAGGTGTCAACAAAAGGCATGTTGCGCCGCCCAAAACCCCGCCCAAAACCCCCGCCAAAACCGACGCCTTGAGCCGTTCCGTTTGGCGGTCAAAGTTGGAGCTGCGCCTAAAGCGCGCGTCTTCCCAAACCCTAGGGCTGGATGGTGGCGAAATCCACCGCGCACCACCTAAGAAACCCTGCAATGTCTGATTCCCCTGCAAATACCAACATTCAATAGCTTCCCGTGGCTTCAAAGTGCTGCAGGATTTTGTCCATCCACATGGCTGGATGCTCAACTTGCTAGGCCGGTTATGACCGTGGGAATAAGAGGACTGAGACCAGTGGAACATCCAAGAAGTTGGGTGAGAGTAGATGGCAGCTTTCTCTCATTGGTTTAGCCATCCCCTGCAATTGCCCGCAGAAAGAGATTCCCTGTGTTTGGTTGTTTGCTCAAAAGACTTGTTACCAAGCCCCGTCAAAATGAACAGAAGCACGCAAGGAAAGGTGTGGATGCCTTTCTGTTCAGGGTACTGTCTTTGGGGTTTTGTGACCGGCAACCCAAAAGAAGCAATCCATTTCTTCCCCCTCCCCTTTGTCCGGGATCCGGGATCCATCATCGTTGTTGTGTTTCCTCCGTATCGGGGCCTTCATGCAGTGCTCCCATATACAGTATTCCTCCACTCTTACGGTAGTGTTCCCGCAGTCCCATTAAGTCTGCACATAGTCTTCACGTGATCTTCCCGTAGGTCCCTTGATGCGTAGTACGGCCTATCTCCACGCATGGATTTCATAAGACGTGGTTCTCAGTGGGTTATCGGTTCTGTCATGAGTTGTTGTTTGGCTGACCTGGGCCTACCTGCCATCCTTGCCTGCTTTTGCACGGGCAACAAAAAGAGCTAGAGGGACTGCTCATGGACACGAAGGAGACCCTAACAGGAGCAAGCAAAGGTCACAAGGCGCCGCATGGTGCCGCCATTGTGAGACTTGAGTCCTAAGTGCCCAGGGTAAAAGGCGCCCCCATGATGACTTTGAGTCCGAACAGCCCCTTTTCCGGCACCCAAGTGACCTCAGTGCCTCAAACCGTCAGCATTGACTTCATCGGAGAAAAGGTGCTTTGGCACATTGATCAACATCCCCAGTGCTGTAGATCCTCATCAGCTCATCCAAAAAGCAGCAAATTCAAAGGGTGCAGCAGGCCTCCCTGGGATGAACTTGAGGATGAATTCCAGAACAAGCAGTAAACAGAACACCGGGCGCAAGTTGCTGAACCTGAAGAGGCGAGTGGCCATAGGAACCTATAATCCGTAATCCGCAAACCGCATAGCCCCGCAACCCTCATAGTCGATGCCTTATTAGAACTTGAACAAGGCGAGGGCACTCCTGCAAGCATGGATTTGTAGCTTGTGGTGTCTAGAGGGACACCAAAAGAACACCTAGCGCTGTAACAAACAAGGGTTCCTGGTTTCCAACCATATCTGTCTGTTTTTCAAAACAAAGGATCAACCTGAGCCACAATCAAAACCCGGTTTGAAAATGGTCTACCCAGAACCGAGCAAAGAATTAAGAAGGCGGCCGCAGCAACTTTTGTTTGGGAGCATCCCTTGGTAACCTTCATCTACCCGGGTGTTGATTGTGGTTCAGGTCACAATATTATGGGGAGAACCGCAGCAGTGCCCGGGACGAAATGATGTGTCTCTCGAGGTCATGACAAAAGCAAGGCAAAAGTCCCTCTTTTGTTTTGAGGGCTTGTGTGAGAACCATGAAACACGTTTCTGGGGGCCATATGCAGTGCTCAGCTTCCTCGTTGTTGGGTGGCTTGGAGCCTGGTGGTTCGGAAAAGTGGTGAAACTCTTTACCCTCTTACAAGAACCAGGCGTTCAAACCCACCACCAATCCACACCATGTAGTGGTTGCCTAAGGTTACCGAAAAGCACATGGAACGCTGCGCGAGTCCACTGCTTTTTGTGTGGGCAGTTTGTTGAGTCGGCAACGCTCCTCCCAAATGGACCAATAGACAAACCACCATACTTTTGACAGGAGAACATGTAGACCCCATCGGTCCCTGGTCCGAACCCATCGCTCCCCTGTGCCTGGCATTGGGCACCAGTTTCGGCTTCAGCAGAGGAAGCCAGTCCGGTACCCTGGGAGTCTCCTGCGAGATCTCGAAACGGAGTAGACAAGTCTTTTGAGTTACCTCTCTATTGCACCAGAATGCATCATACCACAAACATCTGCTATGGTCAAACTGTTTGTATACTCCAGTTGGTACAGCAGGCTTATCCCAGTCATAGGGCTTCTATCACAGCAGGCGTTCGGTTTGTAAACGGTGCTTTCCACTAGCTAGCATCTTTTTCGAATTCCATTGGGGCCTATTAACAATTCGTAATCCGTGTAATCTTTGTTCTGGTTGGCATTCTTCTTGATCAGTCACCTTTTACTGGAGCAATCGAAATCCATGTAACCTATAATTATCCGTAATCCGCAAACCGCATAGCCCCGCAACCCTCATATTCGATGCGACTTACAACTTGAACAAGGTGAGGGCGCTCCTGCAAGCATGGATCAAAAGACAACCTGGCGCTGTAACACAAGAGGGTTCCTGGTTTCCAACCACAGCTGTCCGTTTTCCAAAACAAAGGATCAACACCTGGCAAACTCAGTCCACAGCGACAACTCTACCATTCGCTTGTTGCTGCAGGTGGTCTCGTTGCGCAACAATCTCCTGCACCATCGAAGCTTTGACCGGGGTCTCCTCGAGCGCCTGCGCAACTGGAGATCCTTTTGCCAGCTTTGTTGAAACAAGCTTGGCAGCTCCAATAACTTGCTGGTTTGACAGGCAGGGAATGAGAAATGGAAGGACCCCTAGAAAAACCATGCCTTGTGGCTTCCCTTATTCGGGAATCCCCTTCCGGTTCATTCCCAAAACACTCATCCCCTACTGAGCACCAGCACAATTTGCCTGCACTTGTTCAGGGGAGCCAACACTGTTCCAAGAAACTGAAAGAGCCCAAGTTTTTATGCAGGCAAAACATGTGACACGTCCGAACCAGTCAGCAGCATGCCTGGCACGTGGAACCTCACTCCTCCCAGTCGCCCGGTCGCCCCTCCGCCTCCGGCTGGACAGTAGCCTTTGGCCATTCCCTTGCATCGGGCTCCTGAGCGGGATCCATTTATCTCTCGCCAGCTTCAGATGGGTGTGGCTGGAAATTCAAGAAGTGACTCTACGCAGGTTTTGGTCTTCGTTTCCATGAACCGAGGGGCCATTTTGGGCACTTCGTTTTGAGCCACAGCCAGATGAATCCGGACCATGCTAGTCAGGGGTGGTTGGCCTTGCAGTGACTTGTTTGATTCAAGTGAGGGGGACTCCGCAGATTTATGAAAAGATCTGAAAGAGGAGCGTTCTTCTTCTTCTTCTTCTTCGGACTCAAGGTTTGGACATTTGAACGATCCCTTCTATGTGTTTTTTATTCCAGAAAGCAGCAAGTTTGAAGCGGGAAAACAGAAAGCTGCCTGTCACCATTGTTTGCTGGTGCCGCCAGCATTTTGATGCAGCCAGCTTCCTGAACAACTCTGGAATCTTAGCCCCAAAGTTGCGACAATAATGCAATAGCTAACCAGCCATGCCCTTTTTGTTGTAGGGTGGTTCCCCTAGTTACCTATTATTCACAGGAATGGAATCTCGGGAAGCGCATGCAGCTGCTTTCTTGTGAAGAAGTTGGACGCTTGGCGCGTATTGCGCAAACACAGCGTAAAGCCTTTCCTGCTACGAGCAGAGGCCGCCTCGTCGAGGGAGCTCTCTTTTTTGGGAGACCACTTCAGCCAACCCAGAGAAGGGTACGTTCTTTCTCACAACACGACACACGCACACACACGCACACACAGAGCTTCAATTCTACAATAAGTACAAAAACAAACAAAAACAGAAAAATACCGGAAACGGATCCAAGTAAAGGGCCTTCTTGGCTTTCTCCCGTTTTGCCGAGCCGAAATGGGTATTCTTGCCAACTATGAACAGACAGATCCCTGCGCGAATCGGGGGTCCCCCTCATACATCACCCACTTGAAGGAAACTCAGTGATAGCCGCTGAACAGTGGTTGGTGGACACAAAACCCCGCCTAAGTGATGTCTCTAAAATCTCCATGACACTTCAAACATGGGGGCCATAACCCCATTCGTTTGGGTAGGGCCCCCCGTCCATTTTCCATAGGGTCATGGAGACGCCGGGTCCTCAGGGTCCCCACTGAAAATTCGTGGCCAACTGGGCGCTCAACGTCCTGGCTGATCACCTCCTCCGTCTCCTCGACAGGAGCCTATCGCGCGAGCGGTGGTCAAACACCTGTAGATTTCCCCGCCAAGAAGAGTACTAGAAGAGTGCCACTGTATATGGGTGTGACTCAAAACAAGTAGCTCCACCCCTTACAACTTCCTGCTTCGCCTTGATACTCTCCGAAAGCTATCATCCCCCATTCTGTTCACCCTTTATTTTGTTAAGCCGCTAGCGTTGAAACAAAAACCTGGACATTGGGGAGCAAGAAACCCCCAAAGCTCGAGGTTTCCAGTTGAGAGAAATGACACCTGTGTGTTGGTTGCTCGGTGTTCAAAGCCAAGCCCTTCCAAAAATGCCCTTTAAAGAAAAAAGGGCACCGAAGGTGTTTGCACCAGCAGTTTGCGGCAACTCCAAAGGACGACCAAGCTCCTTCACCAAGGCAGTTCTTGGTTGACGTTGGAAGGGAGGAAAAATTCAAGAAAAATAGCGGTTAAGTGGAATTTCCCACTAAACCACACTAAGCAAAAATGTAATGTTTCCCCACAACAACTATGAATTTATGCCAGTGTTTCGTAAGGGTTTCATACATCGCTGCGGGAATGATCCTGGCATCCCCCGTCAGAGGTTTACACATCACCTTTTCGCACTTCCGAACGAGTGGATTGGTCAGAAAAGTCCCAAACTTTTGGTTACCACTAAAATGGTCGTCCCAAAAAGCATAAAGTCCAGGAATTCCCCTAAAAGTTGTCTTTTTGTTCAGGAACTCAGGAAGTGAGCTTGGCAATGTCAAGGTGAGTTGCCTGTGCCCTCCTTGCCTGCGGGACATTCGCGGGTTCCGGAGAGGTCTCCATGGGCTCGACGGGCGCCTGCGCTATATGACCTTTGGGCTCCCAAAACGCTTCATGGTTGGACACACCAGGGCCATAGGGCTTGAAAAAGGGAGGGTCACTGGGTTGTTCCAAGCCCGGAGGGGCGAGGAATCACCTCTTATAGTATAATAATAGGTTTCATTAAAAAGCCATTGGTCTCCAAAAGGCTTCAGGGGCGATTACACCGATTACACCGGCCATCTTAATGGGGAGGGTGTAAAGGGGGGAAAACTGGGGATTAGGAACTGGCTGAGGACATGTGCTATACGCGCCATGGTCAAGTTGAATGTGTGCGGATCATGGTAACCCTTACATTGGTTGTACAAATTATCTTGGGTCCATGACGATCTCCTCTGCCAGGTAAAAAGGTGGTATGACCATGGCTTCCCTTGAACGGATACCAGGTGTTGCCAAACAAAACGGACACCAGTTTACATGGGCGGTTTGTCATCCAAAAGGGGGTGCCCATGATTCTGAACATGTGAGGGAATACAGGGGCACAACACAGTTGTATCTTGCCCTTTATGCTTCTCAACTGAAGTAGTGAGGAACACAAGGCCTACCTTGTCCACCCACTAGTAGCGCCTGCTACCTGAAAATGGCGAGCACCATGCTGGGTGTCATGCGGATATGAATCAGGCAGAAACACAAACACACACCCATCTGCAAATCTTACGATGATTCCAAAACCCAAAGTAGGCACCCCTAGCAATCGACCTTCGATTCGATTTGGCAGCCCGGCTCGCCATACAGTTGGCAAACCCAGGTGCCATGCTTAAAACTCATGTGGGTCGTGGTTGGCTTAATAGGGTCCCCTACATCCACGTGTCTGGTAGGTCACCAGGTTGGGAAAATACCATTCGAAGGCGAAACGTGGCAATCCAACTGGTCACCTAATCCAACGTGGGTTTGAGATCAAAATACGGAGGCAATCCAACTGGTCACCTGGTCCAACGTGGGTTTGAGATCAAACTGTGATTTCCTTTGGATTCCCTCGAAAACCCTCGAATACCCTCCAAAAGCGGGTGTCCCCAAAGAAAAGCACACCCATGTCTTGCCTTGCCGGAACTCTCGCTTTCCCCCCTTTCGCTGTCCTGCATGGCTTCCGATGCCTCTAGCGCCTGCGGCTTTTTAGGGGAGTCGCCAAGCCCAAGTCAGCGTCTTGATTTTCAGGCGAGGCTCTGCGCCAATGGGTTGGTCGCATGGTTCAAAAGACACCCCGGCCGTCAGGGGGAAATCCGAGAGAGGTCGCTGAAACGAGAGTGGGTTAAACATGTGCCAAAACGAGGGTGTCCCAACCCTGTTGCTGGGTGTCATTTTGGCGTATTCTTTCTTGTCAGGTTTGCTCCGAAGTCTGCGGCAAGGGGTAGAACAATGGACCCACAGATGGAAACTAAGGGAAACTAAACCAATCTCTGGACCCTCAAACCTCAACTACCCATTAAAACAAAAGGAACAATTGTTGGGGCAGCAATCTGCTTTCAAGGACATTTTGAGGGTCCAAGTGTTTTTACTCATCCTCATGCTCGGATCAACCTTGTGTTTTGGGCTGACGTGTCAGAATATCCAAGGGCCGAGCACAAATGGACACCCGCTCAGATGCCCAGTGGCCATGGGAAAAGCAGGGCATCCTTTTTTTGTTGGTTGGGTTTGAAGGGGAACCTTTCCCCCAAAAAAAAGCAAAAAAGGGCGCCGCTGGGCCACGGGGCCCGTTTCAAGCCGCTGCATTACCGTCCTGCTCTTGCAAGAACTGGCCTTGTCAAAGCGACCCTGACCCCAAAACGGCACGCGTCTGGTTGGTGTCCTTTCAAAACAACCAAACAACTCTGCGACCCCTGAGCATGCCACATTTCCTACAGATACTATAGGGCGAGCCGGGAGATATGCTGTCAGTCAGGGGAAGGATAGCATGCAAAAAGAAAAAGGCGGAACACTCAAACGTGTTGACACTGCGGGTGCGCCGAATTTCATTCCAACTCAGTCCGAAGCTGTGGACCCTTCGCCACTGATCTAGAGAATCCGCAGGACACCACCGGCCAAAAAAACGCTTCCCAAACAAAAGGGTTCCTGAAAGGAAACATCCAAAAGCCACCCGCTCTACAGGGGGCTACCTCTACATCAGTTTCAATTAGCCAAAGTGTATCTAGGACACAGACCATACCCAGCCACCAACGAATCTCGAGATTTCGTGCCTGGGCGAGAACTGACCTCGCCTCCTCTTCAGACTCCTGCATCCGCTCCCGGTGAAAACATATCTCTGACTGAGAAACCCCTGTTGGGTTGTTGAAAGTTGGTGTATTTTATAAGATTTGGACCCCTAAAATGCCTTCTTGCTTGTTGGTGTCCCTTTCCCTTTAAAACCACCAAAGGGTACCCTAGAAAAAAACAAAACCAAATGGTGACCCCTGATCCCAATCCGCAATACATGGCGGAACACCAACCAGTGGAGAAATCAATATGGGCTTGCAGGTCTTGATTTAGGGGACCCGCTATCAGGGTGGTTGTAAAGGGAAAGCAAAAGGAAACAACCTCTGTGCTTTCTTCTTCTTTTTTTTGGCGGGGGGGGGTCCCTCAAAAAGGACACTATATCATAGTCCGTAGACCACCAATACAACAAGGGACATCACTACCATCTGGCAGGCAGGAGTGAGGGTTGATTGGGATAAAACAGCTTGGGATTTTGTGCCAGAGAAGCCAAGAGGACACCAACCTGGACTCAAAGATCTTGCCGATGTTGCATCTCGAGATTCCAACGTGGCCAGGGGGGACTCCTTCCGATGGGCATTCTCTACTAGCCATACTTGGGCAACAGTCCCTTGCCCTCTCTTGCAGGAATACTCTCTTGCACCGCGGGTCGCCTTCTACTTTGATAAAAATCAAGCACACCCATTCCCCCCGCATGTTGGCACAGAAAACCATTCTCATGCTACTATCGTAGCTAGCCAAGCCATTTCCATTTTGGAGAAAAAAGGATCCCCACGCCCCATGGCAGGTGGCAATTCTGGGGGTCCCTCTGCATCCCCGAAGTGCGGCAGGCTCCTGAGAGCTCGGCGCCTCGTTGGCCACGTCCGCGCGCTCCGCGATCTGGACGCATCCGCAAAAACAAAAAAAACAAAAACGTGGAAGATGTTGCGAAATCGGAGGGACCGCGCCACGACATGAAACCATGGGAGATTCCATGCTGTTTGTCGGTATGTACAGGGGAAAAATCATCATTCCAGGGTCTTGGGAGGTGCGAAATACATTTCGTGCATCCACAATATGTCGTTCAATTAGAAACATCACCCTGGAGTCTCCACACTTCAAGCATGGGGCCATAAAAACCCCTTACGGCAGACCACCTTTTTTCAGGGTCATGGAGACTGCAGGACACCGCCAAGAGGAAGCTCAGTTAAATTGGCCCGAAAGGTGATGCTTAAAACTCTCCAGGGAAATCTAGGGAACACAAATGAACCTAGGGAACCCAAATGCACTCGGGTGGAGAGGTGACAGATGGGCCTTCTGCCCAAAAATGTATATAAAACATATCCGCACAAAGTATGGCTTGTGTTCCGGGGATTTGTCACCAAATGGCCATATATGGGTTTGTGTGGGGGACCCACAGCGAAACTGGGGAATGGGTGAGCAAAAGATCCAACCTTCGCAGGTTTCATGGATAGGGCCATTTGGCCATGGGTCAAAATCCCGCACCCCCAGTGAACATCCCAATCCAACCACTAAAATCGGTTCTAAAATGGGGGGTGCACCTACCCCAAAATGGGATCCCATTGGTTTTGACAACCACAGCCATTTGTTTGAAAAAAAACAAGACCCAACAGTTAGACCTTGCCATTGGCTAAATGGAACATGAGCAACCATAGGGCCATATAGGGCCACTTCTTTCCAAAAAGTCCGGGGAACATGAGCCAAAAGTCCAGCTGGCAATTCGGGTCAGCGAGCAAACCCCGGACAATCGGCGCCAACGCGCGCACCTCGATGGCCGCAAGGATGGCCGCCATGTCGTCGTCACTCTCGGAGGGTGCATGTGGAGATGCCTCGCATGACAAACCGCAGCACGGATTTGGCTGTGGGTCAAAACCAAATCTGTACCCCCTGGTGAACATCAAAATAGGTGGCAAATGGATGTTCTTCCACACCAATATGGAGCCATAGGTTATGCCCCATGGCCATTTGGCAAACTGCGGTAAACTACTTATCCCTTGTGTGACATGTGTGCCTGTCGGACCCCAACTCCTTCTGTTTGGCTTTTCGCAAACGACTCCCCCAGCAAAAAAACGAAACTCCTCTCGCTCCCTCTCTGCGCTGCGCCTGGTCATTTGTCTGGAGCTGCTTCCACGCAATGTCCGCATCCCCGGAGTTTTCCCTGCGACGCGGAAGCCGGCAGTTGGGTCTTTGGGCCTCTAGCGCCGCCCAGAGTCAACTCGCTGAAATTCTAAGCTGGGTAGCTGCTGCCCCCAAACACCCAAGGGGACAATGCGGAAAGGACGGCCAGGAGGGGGAAAGAAGCTGGCGTAGCACGACATGGCGGCAGGCAGCACGGTGGCTGCAGGGAAGCCAAGTCAGACTCCGAAACCGAGTACACGCTTTTCTGCCAGTCAACCGACAGTTGCCAAGCTCGGTTTGATGGTGCATAAAGGATTGAACAATACATGCATCACTAGTCCTCAAGATTTTGTGGCCTAGGAGGTATCTGTTGAGAGACCATTCAGCGATCAACCAACCCCATCAACCCAACCAACACCCTAAACCCCAGCCTAAATCTAGCCTAAACCCACCCCTAAACTCACCCTTAATCCACCTTCAGCAGACCCTCAGTCGGTCCTTTGGGGACTTTTGCTCGTACAATGTCGAATTGGCATATCCATCCCATCTCAGTCCTGAGGCATTGCTGGATCTTGCCCTCCGCAATCTCCGGCAGCAGCACCTGGGCACACCAGCCTCACCTTTGCACCAAATTGCAATCCCTCGGGCCGTGCGCGTGAGAATTCATGGAAACTTTGGGTTGGGCTCGGGCTTCGCAAAAAGGCTCAGGCCCAAAGGGGCCTGGAAATCAAACATAGATCAAAAGGAGCACGCCAAAGGTTAAAAGCTCGGCGTCCAAAGCTCACACGGCCATGAGAGAATGTGGAGAGACGAAGGAGCTTTCTGGGGACGACGTGGCTTTGCCG